TAGAAACGTTTTCCTTCCTTTGAGACTGTTTTGCTTTTACCTTTCCATTTTCGTTTGTTTTTTTGGTTAAATTGGTTGTGGTTGTTGTATCTGCTGGTTTTATGATTTTACTAAAACGGTTTTGTTCATTATTTATAATGCATATTTTCCCCTGTGGGGGAACAGAACTTTCTTTCTTTGGAATACAACAATAAATTGCGTCATGGTCTGAGTAGTATATTGGAATTACTCCTGCATAAGGATGTTTAATTTCAGTGTTTACATAAATATGGTCTAAGAGAGACCCAGAAACATGGGTTGCCTCAGAAATAAGTTGTCGAAATTGTCTTTTATAACAGAATCTGCTTACAGTAGAATTTTGATTCTGCAAAAAATCGATATTGAAATCTCCAATAAGTAAACACATCTCTCCTTTTCTTTGGCATTCATCAAAAGGTACTTGCAAAGCATTTATTAAAGATTTCATTGTAACATGATTTGGTCTATAAACGGAAATGATTGTGAGCAATGGGATATCATTGTTTAAGACTCTGACAGCAATCATTTCTACAGAATCATTGTGTGAAAGCAATACTCTTTCTGTTTTCAATGTTTCCTTTATGTACATTAAGACCCCACCTTTATGGTTACATTTTTTGCATACTTCATCGGAGCATTCATGATTTCTATAACTGTCTCCTCTGTCTGTTCTAAACAAGTGAAAGCCTGGTATATCTAGTACTTCATCCTTGTCTTCTTTTGATAGCCATGATTCTGAAATGCAAATGACATGTGAAGATAATAGATTAAGATCATTTTTTAGGTCTTGTAAATGGCATTTTAATGATTTGATATTGACGTGAGAAATTTTGAGGAAGTTGAGGTCATCAAAGTCTCTCATTGTTGCGTCTCTGTAGTATGACATTTGATCTCTCAGTCTTTTCATTTCAATTTGTACAAATGGACTTGTTTTTATCTTATTTTTATCAAAAGTGGTGAGATACAGTCCATTAATTTCTTTGCATCTACTCAATGCTACATATGCTTGGCCTGGTCTATAAGGCCCGTCGAAAGAGATTACTATTTTGTCTGTAGTCATTCCCTGTGTCTTGTGGATGGTGCAAGCAAATGATAGATTCAGAGGAAATTGAGTTTTTAAATGTTCAACATTGTTATGCTTCCCTGTTGTAAATATCGTTTGTTCTCTTTCAATTGGAGTTGAATCTCCAAAAGACATTTTGAAATTTTTGCGTCTTTGTTTTCCAACCAGAGGATCATCGAATTTCACCAATATGAATTTCACTTCATCTATTTTTGTGTCTTTGATAAATCCTGTAACTGTACCCATTACACCATTTACTAGGCTGTCAGACAGATCAACATTACGTATGAGCATGACCCTTGCACCAGTTGCAACTGCAAACAAATCCTGTAATTTACCCTGCTCGTGTTCATTGCTTTCAGTCACATTAATTCTACCCGTTGTAACATCCTTTTGTGGGCCTTTTGCGTGTAAGAAATGGATTGGTTGGTTAAGATTTTGTAGCATAGATAAATTATGTTCATCTACCTGTCTGTTAAGAGGGAAAACATGAAGTGCATCTCTAGGATAATAATCGACATCTGGAGAAAGGACATGTTTTTGTAATTCATTCAAATCATCATCTTTGATGTTACCTAATCTAATTCGATTTAAGATGTTTGCAAAGGAAATATCTGATTTTTGTCTCATGATCTCAGTAATTTCTCCAAATTTAAATAAATCTTTCCAAAGATGTAAGGAAAGTTTGCTAAACGCATTTGACGGTGAAGCAAAAATATGTTTACAGCCCACTGGCTGAAGTTGATAAAAGTCTCCCACAGCCAGAACACTTACTCCTCCAAAATACGTTGTAGAATCTGTTCCCATTATGTCTTGAAGACGGAGGTGAATGTCATTTAACAATGAATAGCCAACCATCGAAATTTCGTCAATAATGATTATTTTCAAATGTTGTAAAAAAAAGCGCATTGTAGCAAGCTTATTGGCTGAAAGGGGAAGAAGAACTGAATTCTTTCTGTTACTGACAGGGATACTGAGAGCACTGTGTATGGTGTTTCCCTTTATATTTTTTGCTGCACAACCTGTCGGAGCCATAAGTAAAACTGTTGTTCCTTCTGGATTGTCGTCACAGAGCGTTTGTAATTCTCTTTTTGCCATGTTTACAATTGCATTAATTAAATGACTTTTTCCTGTCCCAGCTCCTCCGGTAACAAAAAGGTGGAAAGGTTTTGGAATTTCTCTTGTTTTTGGTGATTTTCTAAGATTTCTACACCATTTTAAAATGACTTCAAATATTTGTCTTTGCTCAGCATTCAGAGACTGTAAAATTTTACTGTATTCATCAAAATTAAGGACACTTTCTTGTTTTTCTACTTTATAAATAAATTCTGATTCGCACTCTAATTCCGGAGGTTTATTTAAAATTTCAGACGTTTCATACAATGCATTAAATGCCAAATCATCAAATTCTGTTCCCTCTTCTTTACAATCTGACTGTTCTTGCTCTGTTGTCGATGCTAATTTATCCCATTCGCTGGGTCGTAAATCTTCACAACGTAAAATTTGTAATGCAGAATCCAGTAGTCCACTTTCCTTTTCAAATAATTCTATGTTTCGAATAATTTCATCTTGCTTTTGTGTAAAATGATCTTCATAGCTTCTATATGGCTTGAGCAAGTCATCTTCTTCGTTTCGCCAAGGAACATACAACATTAGTACACTATGAAAAAATTTTTCTGGGTGCTTTTGTTTTGAAAATCTTGGATACCTAATTATTGCTCTCTTTTTTCTTTTTCTCATTGTTCCCATTGCATTAAGTAGTGTTATTGTTTTTGATTGTTTTTCTGATTGTTCTTCATTTTCCTCTGATATGTCTTCTTCATTGTTTGCTGGTGTATATTTAGTTTGATACATTGATCCAAAGTCAGAAAGAGTCATATTTTCGAGACTAAGTGGTCTTGCAGCATATCTTTCTAAAAGACCTTTCTGGAACACGTCATCGCTGTCCACATCTAATTGTTCCAACTGAACTTTAGACTTTAAGATATGAATTCTTTCATTTGGAATACTCGTATTGATAAAAACTACTTGTCTAGATGTTTTTTTCAAAGGCATAGAAAGAACACGATAAACAGCTTCTTGTGCAGATACCTCACGATGTGTTAAAAATACGTTGCCTAATTTCTTAAGTTGGTGTCTAATATCATCGTTGTTTTCAGATTCTTTGGAAGCTTCTTTAAGCAGACGCCCCATCTCTCTTTCTCCTTTGCTTATATAACTTAGTATATACATTGCACAGGCCCACGGATCGGTAACATATTGAATATCCATGTTTGCCTTCCATATTGATAACAAATCTGGATTGTAATTATTTATAAAACATTCTGATGGATTTCTCTCTAGAATGATGGTTATTTTGGATGAAGTCTCCCTAAGTGCTTGTAAGTAACAATTTTCTGTTACTTCTGATTTAGTTAGTAATTCATTGAATGTCAAATTTGGATTTGTTTGCAGTATTGCGTATACTCGACTTAAAATACTCTTATTAGCTTCTTTTCTTTTAGTAAGCTCTGTAATCTTGTTGGTGTTGGAGTTTGGTTTTTTGGCAATTAAGGTCTTAGATGATGGGGGACGTGGAAAACTGAATCGACAGGTTGCATCTTTTTTCTTGCAGCTTGAGGAATGACAATGCTTTTGCAAGTCGACATATTCATTTTCATGATCTAATTTACATGAAATATACTTATTGATGAATGAACAGACTTCTTCTTCTGTGTTCTTATCGATTTTTGGAGCATTATCTATCCAAAAGAGACAGTGTATGTGTGGAGATCCTCTCTGTTGGAATTCTACTCTGATGAAAAAATCTTGTACTTTCCCAATGGGAGCTGCTTCAGATCTTATGACATCATTTATAAATAAATTTGTTCTATGTTCAAACTGGCGTGCAACTGTAACGGGATTTGTTCTTATCCAAAAACACCTTTCTTGCCAACTCATATTTTTAACATCTTGTGTCGAAAAGGAGTGTCCATATTGTTCTGCTACAATTTGTATTGTTTCAGGCCATCTCAGATCAGCTGCACTAAAAGTGCAAAAAAAGGTTGGAATATCGAGCTGTCTTACCATGGCAAATAAATCATGGAGGGTTTTGCACCAGTAAGGGTAACTTCCTCTAACTGACTGAAGAAAAGAAAAGCCTTCATTTTGATTCAATATTTTTTTTATATTCTCTGGATTTTTTAGTTTCCCAGCTGTTTTCTGTTCTTTGTTACTTGACCCTTTTCTTAATGCAATTGATATGTTGTCTCTTATTTGTTTTACCTCTGTGTAATATTGAGCAAAGAAAATGTACTCAATATTAGAAGCAAATCTGTTATCTTTGTTCAATAATCTTTGATTGAAATATCTTTTAGGGTATATTTTGGTTGGACGATTTGAATGAAGTCCAAATTTGCCAGATGGAAATTCTCTAGGAAAAGCAAGTATTTCACTGTTTTTGTCAGATATCATGTCAATTGGAATTTGACCTTCTCCCGGTGCAATATTGAAAATGTCTTGATTTTTTTCGAGAATTGGGTCATTTCGAGGCTGTAAACAGGTATTGAATGGAAGTCCTCTTAAACTGTCATTTTCTTCGTCCTCGTCAGTGCTTTGTTCATGTTCCTCATTTTTTTTAGATGTATTAACATTGTCATATTCTTTATCATGTTGTGCCTGTGAACTATCTATTTTTTTGTTTTTTGCATCAAGATTTGAGATTTCGTTGTTGTCACTCTCATCTGACAGATAATCGTTTTCCCACTGTGGTACACATTCAAATATTTGTTTGTATAATTCTTCATTTTCATCTTTACAATGTTGGATCCATTCATCATCTACTTTAATATCTTCATAGTTATGGTTGGCATTCTTTAGGTATTTTAATGCTCTGAAAACATTTTCTGGTCGTATAGATTGGTACATTGAATGACCTTTATATTTTAACTTTCGTTTAAGTTTCACTGGAACAAGTCCACAGTTAGATGGTAGTCTAGGAAGAATTGACGTTATGGTAGATATGTTTGAGGGAACATTGACAACAGAGCCCTTAATTCCTTTTTGTCCTCCGCGAGGTAGATTTACAATTTGCATGAATGGAAGTCTCTTGGATATCATTCTTTCTTCTAGAGGAGAAAGTTCTTGCAGATCCTCTGGTATATCTTCTAAGTGGAGTTCGTTTCCGACAGATTGTGAAGGAATTCTGCCTGATCGTATGGCTTTGTCACATGTGTGACAAATGTATTCCTTGCCATCAATGCTTTTAGAGCCAGATTGAGATATATTAAGCACAGTATCTGCACAGTGCTTATAGTTCTTCAAAAAAAAGCATTTGACAGATTTTCGGTATAAAAGTCTATTGCAAGATGTACAAATATACGACGGCCCTTCCTTTATTGATTTTTCAAATTTTTGTTTAATGTATGTAATTGATTTTTTTTGTTCAATCGTTTTTGACCTTGTTTCTTTCTTTTTATTTTTTTGCTTGATCTTAATTTGTATTTTTTTTTGTATAGGAATGTTTTCCCTTAAGACCTTTCTCCGTTTTGTTTCTTTATCAGTTTTTTCAATTTTCTTTTGTAGTGGTAAGTTTTGTCTTAAGATTCTTCTTCCTTTGGTTTCCTTTTCATTCTTTTCATTTTTCTTTTGTAGTGGTAAGTTTTGTCTTAAGATTCTTCTTCCTTTGGTTTCCTTTTCTTTCTTTTCATTTTTCTTTTGTAGTGATAAGTTTTGTCTTAAGATTCTTCTTCCTTTGGTTTCATTTTCATTTTTTTCCTTTTTTTCAGACGGTGATAGGTTTTCCCTTGCATTTCTTCTAAACAATGATTCTCTTGCATTTAATTTATTTCTTTCTTCAACAGAGAAATTATTTCTTTTTATTCTCCTTCGCATTGTTTCATTTGCATTATTCTGGTATTTATCGATGAGATGAAGTGTTTCTCTAGCTTTTCGTCTGCTTGTTGTTTCCCTTAGATTAATATTTCCTTTTGTTTCGGTAGTTAAAGCATTTCTTTTGATCTGTCTAAGCCTAGTTTCTCTTTGAGTTAATTCTTCTTTTTCTTTTAGTGAAAGATTGCATCTTTTTTCTCTCTTATTATTACGATCGATAGTCTTTAATAATTCTTTTTTGTCATTTGTCATTCTGTTTCTTTCAAGTCGTTTTCGCAAAGTATTTTTAGCTTGTGTTTTTACTGTATTTCTTTTATATGTCTCTTGCACAATGTTTTCAGCTGGTGTTTCTGCTTTGCTTTCTTTGGGTTTGTTTTTCCGAGTGTTTCTAGATGGAGTTTCTATTGCGTTTACTTCATGTGTATTTTGCAAATCATTTTGATTTTCTGTATTTGGCTTGCTTTTTCCACATGCCTTTAGGCTAATGTTTCTAGATGGAGCATTTCTTTTATGTATGTTCTTCTCACTTTTTTCATTTTGTTGTTCTTCGTTAATTTTGTCATTTTTGTTACGAAAAATGCTTCCAGTTTGTTTTTCTTCATGGTTAGTTTTCAATTTTTTTGTTGGTTTATCTAAGATGCAAGAATCTGCATCATTTTGTTTTCTTTTCTGGACATTGTGTTTGACTGTATTTTCTTCTCCATTTTTGTTATCATTTGTCTTTGAACGTTCTAGTATTTTCTTCTTGTTATTATAAGGTCTCTTGGTGATTGATTGTCTTTTCTTTCTTGGTCCTGGATTGGTTTCAATGCCAGCGATGATAAGTAGTTTTTTTATAACAAAATGGTACCATTCACACATTTTGCTAAGAATTCTTCCTTGAAATATTACATCTAAAAAGAATTTTTAAAATAATATTAGTCTATACTAAAAGTAATTCTATTATTTATACTTTGAATAAACGCCGTTTTTTATATGGTTATTTTCCGAAGATGATTGGTCGTCAGGGAATGCTCACATCCTCTATGGCACATGATCCCACCTCTGATGTTTTAGCGAAAGACCTTTTTATTCTAAGGTTTATTTTCCGCTATTTTCATTATTAATGTTTTTTTCTAACCGGTTTTGCACGTGAGTTATCGAGAACGGTTCGCTCAATTTTATTCGAGGGTTATGTATTTTTTTTTTTTACCTGCAACAGATGCGACATTAATTCACGTTCAATCAACCAAAGAAAGCAATATTTATGTAATATAACTTGAGAAATTGAAATTAACAAAGAATAGGATCGTTCATTTATTTTTAATTTACAAAAAATATACACTGAACTCGTAATTATACTAGAGGACCAAGATAAATATTCCAATTTCTAAATAAAAGTTGGAAGTTACATGTAAGGTTATGGCAGGTCAGGTTAAAAATAAATTGACACAATTTAAAAGTGCTTACCAATTTATTTAAATATATATGTTAAGTTTATTTAGCATAATTCAAGTTTTATACAATAACTCCCTATGGGTCCGATCTCTTTCTTAAAGAATCTCTCTTCTGCAACACCCCTTCTCATCTACATTTGAGAAAATTTATTCATAACCAGTCTATTCCAATGTATTACATTTACATTTATAAAATTGATAATGGTTTAAAACAAAAAGGGAAGCTAAAAAAAAAAAAAAAAACAGATGTTTTTGTGAAACACTATGCACCCGGTGTCAACAAATTTTGAAAAAGCTATTTTTAGTATACAGTCACATTCAAAGTCACAAGGTCATTGACCTTGGTGTTGTTTGTAATAACTTAACTAGTGGGGTATGCATACTAAATATGAAGTCCCTATCTCCTATGGTTCCAAAGTTATGGCAAAAAGTGGAAAAAGTTATTTTTAGCATAAAGGTCACAGTCAAGGTCACAAGGTCATTGACCTTGGTGTTGTTTGAAAGAACTTAGTGGAGTATGCATACCAAATGTGCAGTTTCTACCACTTAAGTTCAAAAGATATGAATAACAGTTTAAAAAGGTATTTTTAGCATATAGATCACAATAAAGGTCACAAGGTCATTGACCTTGATGTCATTTGAAAGAACTTTTTTAGAGGAGTATGCATATTAAATATGAAGATTATATCTCCTATGGTTCAAAAGTTATGGTAAAAAGTGGAAAAAAATTATTTTTATCATATAGGTCACAGTCAAGATCACAAGGTCATTGACCTTGGTGTCATTTGAAAAACTTTATTTGTGGAGTATGCATACCAAATATGACGTCTCTATCTCTTATAGTTCAAAAGTTATGACAAACAGTTGAAAAAGTTATTTTTAGCATATAGGTCACAGTCAATGTCACAAAGTCATTGACCTTGATGTTATTTGAAAGTACTTTATTAGAGGAGTATACATAACAAATATGTAGTCTTTATCTCTTACGGTTTAAAAGTTTTGGCAAAGGTTAAAGTTGACAACAGACAGACAGACAAATAGACAGGAAAAAAATAATATGCGACCCGAAAAAATTTGGTCGCATAAAAAAACAGGGGAGCTAGATCTATAATTAAAGTTGGAATTACCAACTTTGAAGTTAGAAAAGCCAGGATTAAAGTTGGAATCACCAACTTTAAAGTTGGAAAAGCAAAAATTAAATTGGATAAGCCAAGATTAAATTTCGAATTTCCAATTTTAGAGTTGGAATAAATAACTTTAAAGTTGGAAAAAGCCAAGATTAAAGTTAAAATTACCAATTTTAAAGTCGGAAAAGCCACGATTTAAGTTAGATAAGCCAAGATTAAATTTGGAATTTCCAATTTTAAAGTTTTAAAATTTACCGATGTTAACAATGGAACCATTGATGTACTACATATGTATTTGTTACATTGATGTATACCATTGTTAACAGTGACAGATTTCATAGAAAATGTTAAACCAAGATTATTTTTTTTCTTCGTGCATCATTTTGTAGCAAAAAAATGCCTTCAGAAATACTTTTTAGTGCAGTAAAGTTCTTCTCCATAACAATTTTTCTTCAACTTGTGTTCCAGATTGTCAAATGTAAGAAAAAATAAAAATAAATAAAATTTAGATTCTACATTAAATACATGCACATAATTTTTTTTTAATAAATATTGTGACATTTTCATTCAAGAAAAACCACATTTAAAGAAGACGTTCCGCTTCTATATACATGTATATATACAAAAACTTTATGTATATAGGTGTTGTAAAAACAGCAGGCATACAAAGATTTGTTACATGTACTTTTCACCGTAATGTCCCGTAATCACCGAAATACCCTTATGTACAAATCACAAAAATGCTCAACAAAATCACTGAAATGCCCATTTGATTATGCATGTAAATAATATACATGTATATACATTTAGTTCTTAACATATTTTTTCTAGTAAAAAAATTTTCTAGTAAAATTACACATGTGTCCTCCTTTTTTAGAAATCAAGAAAATACGTCAATAATATCAATACAAACAAAAATTTTAAATGAAAGAATAACTAATTGTTAGGAATATATTTAAATGAAAAATGAGGAAAATTAAAAATAAACTATTTTGGCACGTGTCTTTAATCAATGAGAGTTTCTTACACATACACATATCTTCAAATTAAAAAAAAACGCTAAAATTATTAAAGTTTTACTTGGTGTCTAGGCTTTAGACCAGGTAATTTCATAAATATTGTTTATTCTAAACAATATATGGGTGCTTTTTGGTGGTATTTTGGTGATTTCTTTGGGCATTTCTGTGATTACAGGGCATTCCATAGTCCGAAAAATCTTACGTTTTTCTGGCTTTTTTACGATTTTTATATTTTACATGCCAGGAAAATATCAAAATCGTAAAAAAAAAACCAGAAAAACGTCAGATTTTTTGGACTAGGCATTCCGGTGATTCGTAGTACCGCTTTTCAACTTTTTTTTCGAGGGTAAAGTTTCATAAAATAATCTTTTTATGAATTTTATACATAGAAAATCATTTATAGAGTAAAAATGAACTCAATTATGCATTAAATTTATTAGCCCAGTAAACCTAGAAATATTTCGGGTTCTCTGTTTAGTAGGACTTAGTACCCCTCATTTCTTGACGTCATAAAAAATTTACCATCACTAACAGAGCTCAATTTCGTATGCAGAAAATTCTACCTATGGTTATTTTTTTCGGCAAACTTTGGTACCCTTGGCTTCTACCAAAGCTAATTTTTGTCATCCACCGTTAGTAATCTGAACGCACCCTATATGCTGCGGCAATAATACGATTCCGTACTATTTTGATTCTAGTTTTATCTACACCTAAGGACTGATTTTTAGCACGTGGTGTGTATATTCTGGGATTTGTTTAGCCTATAACCTGGATTTTTTTTTATTAATACTGTCTGTGCTGTGTGAATTCATAGTATATTTTATAAATGGATTTTTATTATGATGTCTGCAATAAAGGTGAGTAAATATTTTAATTATCTTCAAGTAGTATTAAAGAGGTCTGTTCAGCAGAGCGAACGTTCGCGAGTGCTCGCCAAAATTCCTTATGCGCATGGTATCTATTTTCCAAAGTAATATTTTGGCGAGTGCTTGCGAACGTTAGCTATAGTTAACAGGTCTATCTTAGAATCAAGATTGATTTTCGTGTTGAAGAAAAATTGTAGGCTATTAAGACG